ACTGAAACTTGGGCAAAACCGGGTTTTGAAAAGATTAATCTGAGGAGGACATGCATATGTACATCTTCATGGAAGTTTTACAGTAGTCCAGGAACAGGGGATAAAGTCCAAGCTTGTGGCAATAAAAAAAGAGGAGATTGATGATAGGGATGCTACGAACAAAGAATTATCTAGATTGCCTGGGCAGCAGGAATCTTTGAATTCTTGGAAATGCTAAATCTAAAAAGTTTTGTTTAGAAAATAAAGGTGACCATCTGGAGGAAAACATGAGAAACCATTGAGGGATCATCTCCCACTAGGGTGACCAAATGTCCCAATTTACATAGGATTGAGAAGGTTCCCTGGATGTGGAAGTTTGGGTTTCAAAACAAAGATGGTCCTCAGCAAACCGAAAAGTGCCAACCTCATGTAGTGTGGTGTTGAATAAGAGCTTTTATCTTCCTTGTTTTTTTTTTTTTTTAAATATATCTTTATTGATTTCAGAGAGGAAGGGAGAGGGAGAGAGCGATAGAACATCCACGATGAGAGAGAATCACTGGTCAGCTGCCTCCTGCACACCCCACACTGGGGATCTAGCCCACAACCCAGGCATGTGCCCTTGACCGGAATCAAACCCGGGACGCTTGCGGTCTGCAGGCTGACGCTTTATCCACTGAGCCAAACCAGCTAGGGCCTTCTATCTTCCTTGTTGGCGGGGGTTCTTTTAACACTCTGAATCAGTTTTGGTTGGGTCATCTTGGACAGGCATTTTAAATACTTTGTTGGAGGTTTTGTTAAAGAGGCTGAGATTTTATAACTGGGGGAGGTTGCTTCATATAACAGTGGCAGGTGCTTATATGAGTCTAGCCTAAGTTCATACTTCCATTTTGATGAGAGGCAAATTTAAAAAGTAAAATCTTTCATTTTGATGTATTTTTATTCTTCTCTCACCAACCCCTACCCTCTGCCCTCTGAAATCAGAGTTCAATTTGAATAGATTAAAAGACTTGTCAGGGGATCACTTCATAAGTTATATAAATGTCTAACCACTATGCTAAACTAATATAATATTGAATGTCAACTGTAATCAAAAAAGAAAAAAAGTCTTGCTCTTTCTGTTATGATTTCTTTCCTTATGGTGGATGATTTAATGCTTCCTGAAATGGCTTAAAGCAGGAATCAGAAGGATGAAGAAAGACAGGAACAAGAAGGAAAGAGAACTCTTAGAGTGAGCAAATTGATTGCTGATTGCTTTACTTCACTGTACAGCACCCAAGAACAAGTGTCTAGTAATCCCTTTTCTGTGAGAGATAAACAAAGAGCTGATGAAGAGCTCAAAGGGCTTTAAGCAACCAGAATAGGTGCCACACATTCATGTATGGATGCTTATGCATTCAGATCAGATGGGTAAGCTTTAGAACTGTTTTAGGTTTAATGTAGATGTTACAACAAACTTATTTGGATTTGTAGCCAGCTGAAAGCTGAAAGCAATAAACTTAAAGTTTGCTTCTAGGGGCTGACATGAAAATCAGTGCAAAGTGACCACTGATACTTTGATCATTTGGAAAGAGACAGAAATAAAATTTAAAGTTTGCCAAAGTAACTAAGAAAAGATAGTGGCCTATTTAATGTAGTGGCAAATAATCCCATGCATCTGTTATTGTTTTATACCCCAAACTGATAGTTTAAAGAGGATCCTAAATCATCAAGAAAAAGTCAAATACATTTAGCCAAATACAAAAGTCAAATATGTAATTTGTTTGAGACCCAAAAGAACTAATGAACATTTTAGAAAGTTTTTTTTTTTTTTAATCAAAACTCTGGCATTAAAAACTTTTCAGTTATCTGAAAGAAAAAAATGACTGCTATGGAATACTTTGTCCCAGGAATCAACAATTATGGAAATGTTCCAGCATATTTAAAACAAAAAAACGGAGGAACCCATGTGAGCTTCAGGCTTCTAGTTACAATACTAGGGACCCTGCATTTCTGAGAAAATGGCCTTGCAATTTCCCTATTCAGCTGGGGCTGCACAGTGGATGCTTACTGTAGGACAAAGCCTGATCTTGTAGACATTCTGTTGCCCTGACTGCCGGCAGAGAGCCATCACAAGCTTTCGTGCAGTCCCAAGGGGCGCATATATTAAAGAAAAAACAAGAGCCATGCTCCAAAATGGCTTATTTAAAATGCAAAGGGTAACAAGAGAGTTACATTTGGGGAAAGCCCAGCTCTCAGAAACAGGAAAGTAATACGGAATCTTGGTTAAAGTTGCTTGCTCTTGAACTAATTAGCTGGGGATTGAATTCAGCATGAGAAGTCAGAATGTGGGTTAAGAGTGAAGGAAAATGTTATTTTTCCTCTTAGGTACCAGCCTGGCCCTTCAGAATGTAGTAGCAGGCAGCGCATGAGAGTCAGCCAGTTTGGCGAAATCACAGAATTATGAAAAACACTACGGCTGATTATAAAGGGTTTCCAGAGATATAATTTGGGGCAGATGCATGATAAAAGGCATTTTTATCTTCTTAGGTGGTAGCCTCTTTGTAATAAGATATGGGAAGATTTGTCAGTAAAGAAAAGAAGAGGAATGAATAATACACAATTCAGTGGAACAGCAAATAATACATCCCCACTGCTTTTGAAATACTATTCCTACCTAGCATTGATCTGCTATTGTTTTCTTTCAAATCTCTTTTCTTGTTTTTCTAAGATGGGAGATTTGTGGGAAAAGCATACATAAAAGAAAAAAGCCAAGATCTTTTGCTTTTGTTTTACTTGTGAACCTTTAAAAACAGGGTAGAACTTAAAATAAAGTCATATGACCCATAAATGGCATCCCTGGCTGGATACATGCCCTTGACGGAACATGTCTGCATTTAATAAGATTTTCTTAACAGGCCTGTGCTAGAATCAAAATTTTCATGCCTAATTAACTGTGTAAACAAATTTGGAATTTAGGGAATTTTCTATGTCACAAGGGAGTGAAGGTTTAGTATCTATTTTGAAGATGGGTTCCCTTCCCCCACCCCCAATTTGTAGTGTCTCATTATCTGAAATTCATGCTATTCTCTGTGGGCTCCCTTTGATTCTTACATTGTGTATTCAATGCTAATTTGGTTGTGGCCTCTGCATTCAGAAGTGTTCAGAGCCAGAACCAAGGATAGACCACCTCAGGGAGAGTTAAACTGCCCACAAAGTGCAGGGCACATTTCAGTAGAGGGCACCCAGCCTTCAAGTCCTGCCCTGCCAAAGCCCAACAGTTATGTAAGGTTCCTGTGCCCAGATCTCTGCCAAAATTGGGGTTTCTGTGAATTTCTTGTTAGTCCATTGCAGGGTGAAAGGAGAGGCAGGTAGAAACTGTGCCAAATCAAGAGTTAGGAGAGAAGTGGACTAATTGGGTGTGGCCATCTATAGGCAGAGAGTACCCACCTTAGCATTGGCCAGTCAGGAATCCATTGTGAAGCCAGGGGGCATAGTACAGGTCACCTGCAGGTGGCTTTATCTTACATGACCGACATTTGAAGGTGTTCCAGGCTTGCTGCTGGGTGTTTCTAATCGTGTGTTTTAATTAATGTTTTTATTGTACATGGTCCCAGAGGCTGTTTCAACAGACCAGCATATATTTAGAAGTCTCTGAATAAATAAATTCAAAGTAAGGGTAAAATGATTCTGCTGGAATAATGAGAGTGATTCTCAAAAGATAGATTAAGGCTTCAGATTTTTTTTTTTGCTTGAGATTAACTCCTCTGCAGTGGTCTGTCACCTAAATACACATTTTGAGTGTAACAGAGCGTATCTTTGGGATTTTATCAGGATCTGGCTTTAGAAATGTATACTCTAGATCTTGAGGCAGTTAGGGACACTAGAATTTATTGTCAATTTTGACTTTAAGAAAAAATTAACAAAAAATATAGGGATGTTAGGTTGGCAGTAGCAAACCTGTGAAGCAACATTTACTGGGACCAGTGTAGACCACTTCCCACTGCTGGAGAGAAGAGGTAATTGGAATGGGCAAGTTCCTTTGTCTCCCATTACTGTTGTCTCGAATTTTTGCTCTTCCTTTTAAAAGATCCAGAGACAGAGAAGCATCAATCAGACCATCAAACCTCAGAGAGAAGGCAGGGAGGGTGAGGGGAAAGGGGAGAGATCAACCAAGGACTTGTATGCATGTATATAAGCATAACCAATGAACATAGACACTAGGGGAGTGAGGGCATGAGCGGGGGGTGGGGGGGTGAGGGGGGGTTGGCGGTGTAGGGTGGGCATTGGGGGGATAAGGACACATATGTAATACCTTAATCAATAAAGAAAAAAAAGAATATCTAAAAAAAAGGGGAAAAAATAAAAAAATAAAAGGGGCTTATTTTTTTCCCCTATACTTTTTAAGTTAGTAGTACTTTTAGGCAATGGGCTTAATTCAATTTAGCCAATATTTCCTGAGCACCTCTTCATTCAAGGCAGGAGCTAGACTTTATAGGGGAATGAGATGTTCATAAGTTAAAGGAAATGTATTTGTAAGATACATCTTTCTTGTAAATATGTGCTAAATTTTGGAGAAGATGAAAGCATCTTCTATTTCTTTTTGTCAGGATCCATTACTAGTTAAATTCTCTGGTTGTGATTTTCTTTGAGTCCCAGAGAGCTTGTGAAAGTTACTCAAGAACTATAATGCTGGAGTGTTAGCAAATTGTTTGGCAATAGTAATGAGGTCTGGTGCTGGGCAGAAGAGTGAGGTTTTGAAGTTTGTCTGGTTATCTGCCATCACTGTTTTGCATATCTATTCTAATAGTGACACTTCTTTTATCCCCTTTCCTCCATCTTCAGGGGTCCAAATTCTTAAAGGTGCCCTAAATTAGTAATTTTTGAAACTGGTACAAAGAGCATTAAAAATATTCATTTTAAAATTTTCTTTTATTTTTTTAGAAAGTGCTTCCAATTATTTCCACTTCCCATGTTCCTTTTCTTTCTAACTCTTTATTTATGGCTGAACTTGGCCTTCTGTGGTTTCCTTGGACCACAGAGGCACTTTTTATTTTGTCAGAAGATGTGGTGCCCAAATCAATGGAAAGCCCTGCGGTGATTCTGTTGTACAGTTAGGGTCGAGACTATGGTGCTCCCTACACACATCAGCCATTCTCCTCCATGTGCAGTTTGGTAAGTTTGCCCTCAGGAAAATACTTGCTTAAACTATCCTAGTTCCTTGATTGCAGATGATATCAGTTCTAAGATAGGCTATAGACTTAATAACAGATTTTTTATTAACAAACAAACAAACAAACAAACAAACAAACAAACAACAGTCCTAGCTGGTTTGGCTCAGTACACAGAGCGTTGGCCCGTGGACTGAAGTGTCCCAAGTTTGATTCTGGCCAAGGGCACATTTTGGATTGTGGGCTTGATCCCCAGTAGGGGGCGTGCAGGAGGTAGCTGATCAATGATTCTCATCATTGATGTTTCTATATCTCTCTCCCTCTCTAAAAGAAATAAAAATATATTTAAAACAAACAACAAAATAAAAACAACAAGAAAAACATCCCCACATGAAAAGTACACCTTAATTTTAGGTCATGACATGGTTTCAGAAATATTAAAATTATGTAAATCTTAGAATAAAGAGATATGGTTCTCAATGCAATATTGGCTGAGAGCAAAACTTTACCTGTATTTTTTGAGAAGTTTTTGCATTGTGAAAGAGCGTACTTTCTAAACCAAAATATTGCATGTTTAATGATAAATTTTCACATTGGATTCTGGGTTAGGGAAGGGTTTCTCAATCTTGGAATTATTGACATTTTGGAATAGATAGGTCTCTGTGGTAGTGGGGGGCTGTCCTGTGCATTATAGAATGTTTAACAGCATCTCTGACCTCTGTCCACTAAATGCTAGTAGTACCTCCCATTCCAGTGTGACAATCAAAAATGCCTCCAGACATTGCCATGTGTCTTCTGGGTGGAAGGCTGGGGGGATTATCCCCAGTTGAGAACCATTAGGCTAGTGAAATATATATATTTTGGGAGGCACAGCTTGTATCAGTTAGTGTTCAGTTGCAGAGAACAAACCCCATTTTTTATATTGAGTTTCTTAAGCTGAAATGTGTTAACGACAGGGTATTCACTGGTCTACAAAACTGGTTTGTGGCTGAAGAAGCAGACTCTAGGCTGGTGAGCTTCCAAAAATGAATCCTGAAGCCATACCACAACTGAGCCATCAAAGGAACTGTGTACTTGCCTTGATCTGTACACTGTCAAATGGAGAAGCTGTGGTCAGGAAGACACTTCTGCTGAACTGGGGAGTCAACACTCCATCTACAGCAGCAGCATGATGCCTCATGTCTAGCCTTCCTCCTTTTTTCACTCAGTCTGAATTCATGTTCTGAAAGGGAATGTGATGACGGAGCCTACATTGGAGCCTACATCATACCCGGAACCCCATTTAGAAAAAGCAATTTTTAGTTTTTAGTTTACCAGCCTCTGTAGTATACAGGCAGGCATTCCAGAAGGAGGTTGGAACAGGTGTTGAATAAGCTCATCTTTAGTATCTTCCACAGTTTCTTCCCAGAGATTCTTGACTCACATCCGCTGGGCAACCACCTATTCTAGGCAGCTGGGGTTGGTCCAAATGTCCTCTTTGCTCTCCGTTTACATTTTTATATCAAATTTCTTTGCTCCCATTTACATTTTTTATATTGAGTTTCTTTTACTCCACTCTGCTCCCTATTTCCTTATAGGTAACCATTATTTTCACACTTCTTCCCTTTCCCTGACACTAACTGTAGGTTTTCTGTGAGCTTGAAGGTTTTATATATCATACCTGGCCATGTCAATAGACATCACATGTGAAAAGTCTGTGTTGATGGGATGTGAGCTGAGGCCTAGGACACTCAACTAACACCACTTGTATCTCTAGCCACTCAAGATACTGTGGGAATAGATATTCTGGGGCAGAGAATTGCATTTTTGAATCATATTTTCTCCATCTAGAAAAATTGAACACTAATTCATATGAACAAACATATTGCCTGATTTAAAGTAAATGTTGATCAATAGCCTTAAGTCCAAGTAGGTAAGACTCAAGCTATGATTTCTGTCTCTGAGTTATAGTCTTTTAGAATTTTTTAAAAATTATTATCTATTGATTTTATGTTAGATAGTCTTTTGCAATTAAAAAAAGGGGGCCTGACTTGATTGCAGTGTCATCCTGTACAGCAAAAATAAAACTTGCAGGTTCAATTCTTGGTCAGGGCAACTTATACCTAAGTTGCTGGTTCTATCCCCAGTCAGGGTGCATTCAGGAAGCAACCAATTGATGTTTATCTCCCACAATGATGTTTCTCTCTCTCCCCCTCTCCCTCTCTCAAATCAATAAAAACATATCCTCTGGTACATAATAAGTGATTGCTTACTTGATATAATATATTTTTCTTCTAGTTTGTTACTAAAATTTCCTAATTATTAATTTGTGTTAAGCTATGGGGACTTTGATCCTAAGTTAAATACGTTAGGAGAGGTAAAAATATCACAAGTCGTTTACTCTTTACTATAGGATTGCCACATAAAATATAAGGCAAATGGTTAAATTTGAATTTCAAATAAAGAATTACTTATTTTAGTATTAGTATGTCCAAAATGTTGCACAGGACATATTTATACTAAAAAGTAACTTGTTGTTTATCTGAAATTCAAATTTAAGTGGATGTCCTGTATTTTTATTTGCTAAGTCTGGTGTGAATGAACTGATCAAGTTATTTCTTGAGAATCCATTTGTTGAGAGGGACAAGGGATTAAAAAATATGAGCGTAATGGACTCTTAAGAAAAATAAAGGTGAGCAAGTTGGGTTATCTACAGAAATGAAGAAGAAAACCTGAAAACAAACAGGCACCAAACTGGTCCTGGTTTTCATCGACCACTTCCTGGACATGCATGCAAATAAAGCCCTGATGTGAAGTTCAATCTCTGTTCCTTCTCTGCAAATGTAGCCACTTTCCTCAAATATTTGGATCTGTTCCCAATGCAGCATTCGGTTGCCCAGGCTGGACAAGCCAAGCTTCGAGGTAAGCGGAAGAGATGAGCAGTACAGGCACTGGATACCTTGGAGCCTTGTAATCTTGCTTGCACAACTTCCAGATTGCATGGTTCTTGGCTTCAGTGTAGCTGGGCACAATTTCAAAGCACATCTATGGAGACCATGTCACAACAACAAAACAAACCAACGTAGCTGCGAGTTACATTAACAGCTTGAAAAAAAAACAAGTCAACAGACTTGAAGACTGCTCTGGGAGCCCCTCCCAGAGAGTCAGACTTTGGCAGAAAGGGAGTTACTGTGCCTCCTATTTGACATTTTTAAAACTAAGATTATTCTATATGATCTGCAGTTTGTCCATTCCAAAGAGTTTTTGTTTGTTTGTTTGTTTGTTTGTTTGCAGAGAGCCCTTATTTTCTTTATTGTTGATCAGCACTACATTTGCCTGAGGTGTGAAGGGTCTTGTATGGCATGCACATTTCTTGTCCTGAGAGATGGTTTCTCTGGTACAGATGTCATATCCATACGATGGCGCATCCTTTCCTCAGCTCTTACATTGCTGTTGGTCACAAATACATGAGCCAGATTTCCTAAATCTGATACTTCAGTCACAATCTGGTGGCAAATTGGAAGTCAGGAAGAGTTTACACATTTTGCACAATATCTCATATGACAATTCTGAAGTAATTTGTTAGAGACATCTTGCTCCCTATAGAGAGTACATTAGCAATTGTAAATGTAGGTGGGTAGCAGCTTCCCCATTACTGAACTAAGAACAAACTGGCTTCTTAATGTTAGTGGATCAGCAGATGATGTATTATAGAATTGTATACCTGAAACCTATATAATTTTATTAACCAATGTCACCCCAGTAAATTCAATTTAAAAAAAGTGTTAGTGAATTAGGCCCAGTAGTATATGTGGATGGGAGTCTTGCCAATATCAGGAACCTCCTTTACTCACACATTTTTTATTTCTGATTTTTATGGAAGGTTGATTTATGAGCCACTAACATCAGGATGTGTGGGTAAGTTACACTGTGAGGAAGCTGGTGAAGAGAAGGAAAATTAAACATTTTGGAGGAGTTCTTCTTAGCTGCTGAATGTGATTTCTTTAAAAACAAATGTAAGGTATTATTTTGTATGTTGAATATTTTCATCTGATTTGCATATATCTTGGACTACCACATTTTATCTCAAAAGTTTCATTCCCTGAACATACAGTACATTATAACAATTCCAACTTTTGCCTTATTTAGTAACTGTAAGAGAATAACAATGACAAAAATAGCAAAGCTATCCTAATTTCCTAATTTTCCCATTTTTTCTTTGGTTGTCTTTAAATTATATATATATATATATATATATATATATATATATATATATATATAAAATTTATTTTTACTATGCCTCTTCTGACTCATATCCTGGGCTATCTCAATTTGTGCATGTTTTCAGATTTTTTGTTGTTTTTTTTGTTTTTTTGTTTTGTTTTTACTGTTCATCAGATTATTTATTCCCTTGATTTTTAGATTCACTTGTTGATAGATGTGTATTTGTTGTTCATAATTTGTATCTTTACCTTTTTCTTCTTCTTCCTCTTCTTAAAGGATACCTTTCAGCATTTCATATAATACTGGTTTGGTGGTGATGAACTCCTTTAGCTTTTTCTTATCTGTGAAGCTCTTTATCTGGCCTTCACTTCTGAATGATAGCTTTGCTGGATAAAGTAGTCTTGGTTGTAGGTTCTTGGTATTCATCACTTTGAATATTTCTTGCCACTCCCTTCTGGCCTGCAAAGTTTCTGTTGAGAAATCAGCTGACAGTCGTATGGGTATTCCCTTGTAGGTAACTGACTTTCTTTCTCTTGCTGCTTTTAAGATCCTCTCTTTGTCTTTTGCTCTTGGCATTTTAATTATGATGTGTCTTGGTGTGGTCCTCTTTGGATTCCTTTTGTTTGGGGTTCTCTGTGCTTCCTGGACTTGTAAATCTATTTCTTTCACCAGGTGGGGGAAGTTTTCTCTCATTATTTCTTCAAAGAGGTTTTCAATATTTTGCTCTCTCTCTTCTTCTGGCACCCCCATAATTTGATGTTGGTACGCTTGAAGCTGTCCCAGAGGCTCCTTACACTATCTTCGTATTTTTGGATTCTTTTTTCATTTTGCTTTTCTGGTTGGGTGTTTTTGCTTCTTCGTATTTCAAATCTTTGACTTGATTCTTGCGATCCTCTGGTCTGCTGTTGGGAGTCTGTATAATGTTCTTTATTTCAGTCAGTGTATGCTTAATTTCTAGTTGGTCCTTTATCACAACATCGAGGGTCTGACTAGATTTCTTGAAGATCTCACTACATTTATCAGCGGTCTCACCAGTCTTTTCGAGGGCCTTATTAAGTTTATCAGCGGCTTCTAGACAGTTCTTTAAAGACCTTAAAAGTGTGGTTTTGAACTCTATATCCAGCAGTTTGCTTTCCTCCCATTCGGTCGTTTGTGTCCTGTTTCTTTGTCTCGGCATTTTTTATGCTTCGCTGTGTCAATAGAGTGCCTTTCTGTGCTAAGTGTCCCAATTACCTGAGGTAGACACTCTTGGTGCACCCCCTTGTGGGCTTTGTACACAGTCTTGTTGTAATTAAGCCTTGATTGTTGTAGTTATCACTGTGAGGAATTTACCTCCAGGCCAATTGGCTGTGAGAATCAGCTGTGTCTGCAGTGGGAGAACTTCTGTGCTGGAGACACCCTCTGGGGGTAGACTTGCTTCAATGGGGCTTTGGTGCTCACTGCGTCTGCCCCCTGAGTGTGTCTTTTATGGTTCCACGGAGCTGCAAACTGGATGGTCCCACTCTGACCTTTGGGCTTCCTGGCTCCTGGATCTCTAGGGAGGTGCTAATCTAGCCTTTGCCTGAGGCTATCCAGCAAAAGTCTCCCTGCAGGGCTTGGGTGGGGTGGGTCCCACAGGATCAACAGGGCGGGGTTAGCAATTATGGCTGCTCTCAGTCTTGCCCTCAGAGGCTCTGCTTCTCAGTGTCCCAGTAATCGCTGCAAGCCCCATGGAGAGAAAGCTGCCCTAGGGTTCTGAGCGATGCCAGACAGTCCCGCTTCTCCCGTATGAGTCTGGGTCCCCAGAGACTCGCCCGGAGCTGGAGCTCAGAGCCGGAGACTCCCTCCTGATTGAAAACAACACCACACCCTCAGCTGCCAGCCCGCTCTGCATGCACTCCACAACTTAGTATTTTACTTCAGCACTGCGCCTCCTCTGAGTCTCGGTATGTTTTTCTCTTTCCTCCTAGTTGTAGAACTTCCACTCAGCCAGCCTTCCTGTGGTTCTGGATGATGTCCGTTCCGTCTTTTAGTTGTATTTTTGAAGTGGTTGTTCGAGGCAGCAAACTCCGGTGTTTACCTATGCCGCCATCTTGGTTTCTCCATGTTTTCAGATTTTTTGTTTATTTTCAGTATTTTACCTATTTCTTCTCTTTTCATGTTATTCATCTCCCAATTCCCGTTTCCATATATGCCCCCTTTTCTCCACCACCATTTCCTGTTTCTCTAGACCTTGGAGATATACAACCTTCTTTATCACAGAACTTCCATGAGGTTTTGTTCCAAGAACTATGTGGAACAAACTGCGCTAGCTCAAAGAAACACTCCATTGAGAAGGGAATGACTTGGAATAGTGGGTGGGGTGTGAAGAGAACGGGCTATGCTTTCTTAGGTCCATTCCACTCTAAGGATGTCATGATTCCATGAAAAGATACTCTTGGGATTGGTGGATCAGATAAACATTTTTGGGCATTAAGAGTTACCAACTCAAACATTATAGTTTGAAGTTAAGTTATGCTGAGCTGAAAAATACAAAGACAAAAACTTTCCAAGACATAAAAATTTTTGTTTTTTTTCTTTGGCCAAAAGATCAACATTGTCAGATAGACAGAAATCTTTATAATATCTCAGAGGAGATTTATTTTCAGAAAGGAGAGTAGCTATGGAGTGATTAATTCTTTTTTTTTTTTTAAGTGAGAGTGGAAGGGAAGGGGAGAGACAGAGAGAAACATCACTGTGAGAGACATCTATTGCTTGCCTCCTGGGAATCGAGCTTGCCACCGAGTTATGCCTTCATCAGAATCGAACCCATGACCCTTCAGTCTGCAGGCTGACACTCTATCCACTGAGTCAAAGCAACCAGGGCTGGAGTGATTAATTTTTAATGAAGGTAACAGGTGGGCTCTCCCTACCTGTGTGGTAACTTTAAATTTTCTCAGGGCAACTAGAAGTAATTGATATCTGTAGAATTCCATGCCCTCCTTTGTATTTCTGTGTTGATGGCTTTATTTGGTGTGAAAAAGCTTCTGCTTTTTGAAACTATCCCCAATCTAGGAGCCATTGAAAAGGAAGACTGCAAAGTTGTATGTCACAAGTGATAAGTATAAATTCAAATCTACTTATTTTGTTGGGGCAAAATCGTATTTGTTCATTTGTTTCATAGTGCACCTACCCTATTCCAGCACACTGTTAAACTGAATAATGGTTAGTAAAGCCAGATATAGGGCTCTTGCCATCATGGAGTATAGAGTCCAGTGGGGAGACAGACAGTAACCACATAATCACACAAATATATTTAAATGGTTTAGCAATAAGAGCTAAAAACGGGAAGTACATGGAGCTAGTAGAGTACAAAACGGGTGGGTTTGACATAGTTTTGAAGAAGAATATTTACTCAGTTGGTGAGTGCGGTGAGCAGTTCCCTAGAAAAGTTGCCAAGTGCCAAAGCTCCATGATAGGAAGGATGGAGAGAGAGGGCCAGTGCAGCTGGAATAAGGGAGAATGAGGCAGCATCAGGGGGCAACGTGAGGATGGACAGCAGGAGAAGATCATCCAGGGACTCAAAGGCTATGTTGTGGGCAATTTCCCATGTTGTGGAAGCCATCAAAAATATTTTATTTAGATATTATAATAAGCATCTTATGAATTATGAGTACTAAAACATTTTCAACTAAGATATATTTTCTTTTAAAACATTTATTGTGATTGGAACACACTATTAGATCTCCTCAACAAATTTTAAGTGTACAATATATTATTGTTGACCATAGGCACAATATTATAGACCAGAATTCTCAAGCTTATTCAGTTAACTGAAACTTTATGATTGCTGATCAATACCTTATTTTCCAGCAGCCTCTGGTAACCACAATTCAGTGTTTGATTTGATGAATTTGTCTATTTTAGTTACCTCATAGTAGAATCATGCAGTATTTGTCTTTCTGTGGCTAGCTTAGTTCACTTAGCATATATCCTCAAGGTCTATCCATGTTACTAAATATTACAGAATTTACAGAATTTCCTTTCTTAAAAAAAGACTGAAATGCATTCCATTGTATTTGTATACCACATATCCACCCCCACCATTCTTCTTCAATGGACATTTAGGCATTTTTCTACCTCTTAACTATTGCGAATAGTGCTGCAATAAGTATGGGAGTGCTAATAGCTCTTTGAGATTCTAATTTCAAAATTTTTGGCATATATACATGGAAGTGGAATTGGTGAATAATTTGGTAGTTTTATTTTTAATTTTTAAAAGAACCTCCATACTATTTTCTATAATGATTATACTATTTTGCATTCTCACAAATAGTGTTCAAGTGTTCCAGTTTCTCTATATCCTTACCAACACTTGCTGCCTTTAAAAAAAAAATAAAAGCTAGTCTGACAAGTATGAGATGACATCTCATTATGGTTTTGATTTACATTTGTCTGATTATTAGTGACAAGGAGCATTTCCCCCACATCTTTGTTGGCTACTTGTATGTTTTTAAAGAAATGTCTATTCAAGTCCTTAGCCCATTTTTGAAATCAGATTATTAGTTTTTTTTTATTATTCAATTGTAGGAGTTCCTTATATATTTTGGAGATGAAGTCTTTTCAGATATAGAGTTTGTAAATATTTTCTCCCATTCAATAGGTTGCCTTTTTACTCTGTTGATTGTTTCCTTTACTCTGCAGAAGTGTTCTTTTTTATGTAGTCCCAGTTGTTTATTTTTGGTTTTGTTGCCAGTGCCTTTTGTGTCATAGCCATAAAATCATTGCCAAGACCACTTACAGTTTCAAGTTTTATGTTTGAACTTACTTTT